GACAGACAGGCAGGCAGAAAGGACACAGCTGGGTTAATGGCCCACTGAGTTGGGGGGGACGAGGAGAGAGGTGGGAGAGCACAGCAGGGCTGGTGCTGGAGGGGGCTGAGAGCAAGGTGTGCGTGCATCCCCCACTGCAAAATCTTAAGTATTTTTGGTGTTGGGGTTCAGAGTTTTCCCCGAGGATTCCTTTACCTTGGTCTGGATGGGCAGGACCACACTTGCCAGCCTGGCTCTTTGCCAGATGGTCTCCTTTCTTCCCTACGGAGACAGGGATTTTGGGATGTGATTGCTGCTGCTGCTGCCACCCGGGTCGGGCTGTCCCTGGCTCACAGCCGTGCCGTGGCACACATGCTGCCTGTCCCTCTGTCCATGGCCACAGCACGTGTGCCATGGCAGGCACCTTTCCGAGCTGCTTTGACATCTCTGTGCACCCATGTGGGTTTGGGATGGGGGAGGAACCATTGCCTGCACCCCAGAGACTGGGACAGGTACCTAATTAGCACACAGTTAATGAGTGAGGGGGAGTCTAGTGCCAGGGCTGCAGCTCCCGAGAGATAACTGGGTTAGTGGGGGTGGGGGGGGCAGGCTGGCCCATTTTTTGGCTATTGGTGATGGTTGGGGTGCTGGATGGGGTCTACAGGATCCTGCCATGTTGGGGAGCTTGGAAGGTCTGGACCTACCCACATGGCTTGAGTGGACTGTGTTTGCTGGTGTTGGGAGTGGGCGGCTTCCCCCACGCCAGGATGTTGTCCAGCCCCGTGGGGACAGGAGCGGGTGAGAATCATTTGATCACGCTCAATCCTTCCTGGTCGCTGCTCCCCATTCCCAGCGCCAACCCCCCCCCAACGCCTGTTCCCCATCCCCTCTTCAAGCCTCCCCATCAATCAAGTCTCCCCACTCCACACCCCCAGCCTGGCTTTCTCCGGGCTGTAATTGCCGGGCACCCCGTGGTGTGATTTGTGCCGGCTTTGGCGTGGAGGCGGTGAGGCCATTGTGCTCGGTGACAATGACAGCTGCCAGGAGCAGGTGCCCCTGCCGGGCTGAATGGCCCCAGGACGGATGGGGTCTTGCTGCCACCCCCTCCTCTCGTCCCCCTCACCACGGCCAGGGGCTGTCGGTTGCCTGCTCCCGGTTTTGGGAGTGCGAGGGTAGAGCGGGAGGGGGGTGCTGAGCTGCAACCTGCACGGGCATTGAGGGAAGGGGCCATGG